AAACAAACGACGACGCCCCGCTCCATCGCGTGATGATTAAAGAGATTAAACCGACCGCGAAACGATCATGATCGACGACTGACTGAGGGTAATTAATGGAAGTATGATATGAAACGTTAGTGCGGATGAGGGTTTCGACGGGACGTACCAAACAAACGTGGTGGTCACGCATAACGGCAGTTGCCTGTACGTCCCTCCGGGCATCTTCAAGAGCACATGCAAGATAGACATCACTTGGTTCCCCTTTGACGACCAACACTGTGACATGAAGTTCGGATCCTGGACCTACGACGGCAACCAGGTACACTACTGTCTCCACTTACACACCGACACACGCTCAGTACACACCGAGAGCACCAAGATTATTATTCGATCCCTTGAATTCTTCCGAATGAGCTATACGCGCTTTTAACTCGGGTGAACCGGAAGCGGAGGGTGAAAGGGGGCGAGGGACCGCGAAATGTGGCTGCCAAGTGCGACCGACGTGACCGCCGTGCGGTGCGGCGAAGGAGAGTCGCATTTTCACGATTATGATTTCCGGAAGAAAATTTTTATTCACCGCGCGATGAATAACGATGCTAATATGAGGTAAAATCTTCAAAAACCTCCGGTCACTTATCGGTGCAGATTTTCTGAATAGAAAGAATTTATACTCAATTTGCATATGAGATTATTATTAAAACAGAGAACATTAATTTCTATCGGTTTAATTAACTTTCATAATTTTTTAAATAACATAAATTATATTAGAAATTAAAAAATTGGACTTTATATAGTTTTTAATAATTTAATTTCGTATGGATTTAATATCTACATATTAATAATTTCCGCGTATTAAATTTACATATAATTTTATTCAAAGTTGGCGATATTTTCACAAAAATTTGCATATTTTTCTTACGACGCGAATTTAAAAATTAATAAGTAATTACGAAGGTCAATTCATCGCGGCGACAAAAACGTCCCTCAATTGCGACTCCTGCCGCTTAATTACCGCCCAATTATCAATTACCGGAGCACCGTCGCGTTCTCGCTTAACGAGCCCGTGGCCGAAATTTCACGGTAACGCAGAAAACCGTCGAGGTTTAATCCTATCTGTGGCTTGTCGCTTCTCGGCAAACGGGCGGAGGATCGCGAAGTCCCCGGCATTCTATCGACGTCGCAAATGGAGCCACTTTCGGCGTCCGTTCGCCATCAGGGAACCCTCGCTGCCACGAGATACTCGATCGACCCGCCCTTCCACCTCGTCCCAGCCGAGACCAGAAAAACCCCCCGTCCCGCGCCCATGACGGGCACACCTCGCGGCTTCTTCTGTCCGACACAAGACTTCACAAGTGCAACACACAATAGCGATGCTCCATAGATAGCCGTTCTCACGCTTCGTAGCTTCAGCTCGGATCTATATACATAACATAGGCATATACATATGATATATAGCATTACATGTTACAACACGTACGACACACGTAAAACACACGCACCGAAGTATGTGTGAGCTAGATCAAGTGCCGCGGAAAGTACGAGACGAAGTGAGATAGGAGAAAGTGTCAGGGGTAGCCCAGCACTCCGGAAGAAAGCGTCGTTGAGAATCGCCCTTCGATGGTTTTTTCGCGCTTTCGAGCACGTTAGATATTGCGAAATGTTCCGGATAGACACACATATTCGTGATGTGTATCCGTCGGGATGGGGAAAAAATGTTGCATTGCGGGCGGTCGACTTCGCTGATTTTTATTCGTTTTTTTTTTTTTTTTACTTTCCATTTCCGACGGAAAGTATACTATAATCGATTTTGTTGCGCGAATTAAATTACGCGCATTTATACGCGCTATTCCGTAAATTGTAGCAGCATCTCCCGATAGTCGATTACCGCGCGGAAATATGCCGATAGCGCACAGCAGAATCGTCGGATTCGATCTTGCCCCGTTCAATTATTACCAAATTACGGGTAACTTGAGGTGATCGCCATTAATGGAGCGATCTCCATGCACTATTACGTTAAACGCTATTTCCAACCGCCGAATCGACGATGGTAACTGTTTCTATAATGTTGTCAGAAAGCTCACGGCTACCTCGCTCAATCGTAGTTACTTGGTCGCATAAATTCCTTAACAGTCCATGAACCGCGTTCGTTGTCTCTCGCTGTTCGCATTTAACGTTTCCAAGAAAAGTAATTTGATTCAATTAAACTGCAGTGTATTGATACCGGCTTTTGCATAAAAAGATCGACGCGCGGGGATAATTCGTTTAATCTTCACGTAAGTGAAAAACCAGTTTATTTTGTGCGTCGTTTAATTTTAAAGGCGCGCGCATTTACTTGTACGTATACTTTTATAATACGGACTGCGGAACGAGGATGAAATTTTGTTAAACTATCTCGACTCGATTATATCCAAATTGCGGGTAACCCGTGGCGACCGCTGTTAATGGAACGATCTCGACACTCTCGTAGATTGTGTCACAGATATTTCAATGTGCGATTTCAACGACGATAGTATCTCTACAGCGCCAGATAAATTGCCGTTGCTCTCTCTCCGAATCAGAAAATCGCGATACGTGTAATGTACTTTTTCGAATCTCGTGTTATATCATAATTATTCTTAATTGTTTTGCTTACAATATTCTACGTGATAATCGCGAAATTTGCACTCGGATGCTTTCGAATTGAAAATCACATCTCAGCGAGAAGACACTCCTGTTTGCCAGCTTGTCGTGTAACGTAATCTCTCATAAGTTCTCGTTAGTTTCTCCCATTAATTATGAAATGATTAATTGTTAAAGTTTTATGTAATTTTCGCATGAATTCTCCAAGATCCTCTAAAATTTGTCGTAAGTTGGATAACATCCGTTCAATTTCGAATTTGGAGCTGGTAGTTCGCCAACGTGAGAATAATTCCAAGTTCCGCGTTCGTGCAACCAATTGTAACTTTCGCCTGTTGAATCATCAAATTCGCATCGATATAAAACGCCGATAAAGTTTGACAAACTGCAGTTTGATTCCGGTACAGCGAAACAGAATTAACAAAGGATCGCAAGCCGATGTAATCTCTGGCAATATTATTTCTCTCCATTAGACGATATATTTTGTCACCGACGCGACCGACTATTCCCCATTGTCGTAGAGAAACCAAGACGCGCGCGTTTATACGCCGAGATATTAAGGCACATATGCGAAGCGTCGCGCCTAACTCGCGACATCGAGTTTGCCGAGCTCGTTCCCACGGCGCGCAGTTTGCACGCCGCATATAAACGCCAAATGTTAAATTCATTTTACTTACGACCCGGCCTCGACACTTCGCCACGTCCGTGACAGTTTTCGGCCCTTCGGGACTCTCGCGCAAAGAACTACCTCGCTGTCAAGCGCACGAAGCGCTCCTGTCGCCTGAAATCAAACGCACGGACTTAATGAGAATAAGAGTCAATGTCATTCGGTATTGCATTCTGCTTGTTGAAAGTTTGTTCGGTAAATTATATAAAATCGGAAACAATATATAAAGTCAGAGCATTTCAAATTATAATATGTGCAATATCTTTCGGAAATATTGATTCCATTGTTTAATTAATTCAATTGTTAAATTAATTAATTAACGTTTCTATTTTAATGGCAGCTTAATGGCAGTTTAATGACGTAATAGTAAGAAAATTATACGCATTAAGAATAATGTTCTTTTATGAGTGCGTTAAATTTTACATTTCATGGGGGAAGATATTTTCATGGGGGACGCAAATTTAACACGGACTGCCTGGTGTTTCTATTACGACGGTTTTTACGATGTCGAGCGAGGAAGAACCGGTACTTCATGATTTTAACGATTTATCGCGAATCATATAACGATCAACAATACTATCCCATAAAGCAAAACTGAAAATGACAAATTGTGATTTTCCGTTTGACATTGATACACCGTAAAACGTTGCGCCGCGTCGTAAAGCTAGCCGCTAACGGGCACTTATTGCGAAAACAGACAACAGAATGCGCCAAAAATGAATAACAAGTGTCAGGTACAAAATTTTAATCGAATCGCCACAAACATCCATTGTTAGTGTCGTTATTATTGTCGTTATTGTCAAAAAATATTTTTTTTATCCAAATGGATTGGTCAAATTGGAACTAAATCAATCATAACATTTATTACACACTCATACATTTATCCATTTATTTGAACATTTTTATTTATACAGCCAAATATATCCTCGGAAAATATTGAAATTCAAAGTTACTAAATTCAATAAGTAGCTTTTATTATTTTACGTTTGTACTATATTTTTTTAAATTTTTTTTATGATGATTTCTCGACTCATCGACGTTATTGATTTTAATAATACTAAAATCGTTAATCGCGTACAACGGTCGTCGCATACTTTGTCACGATAAATAAGGTGTGTTTGCTTTAATATTCTTATAAACTGCGCGTCAAACTACTTCCTCACTGTCACTAACGATAAATTTATAAACGCTCTATCATTCTTCTCTTTGTTCACTTCGCTTTAATACGGCTAACGTCGATAAGACTAAAAAACTGGCATTGCTTTCAGGCCGTGCTATCTCTCGGGTAATAAATAATCTCTATACTTCCGTAACGCGGTTGTGGTCTCATCGATTTCCAGTCCGAAAGCAATAAATTTCGTCATTATTTGTCTAAGCGCGTGTAAAGTTCCTCGTGTCATTTCACGTAACACTCATTTGTCCAGTTTAATCATGGCACAGACGAAATTTGCCTCCATATATATTTCTGACATTTCAACGTTCACCGTTTATTCATAGCCAATCATCCGCTTTTAATTCATATTTCATTTGCTTGACAGAATGAAATGTTAAATGCGTCTTAACTTATTATAACAATTTAAATATCTAATAAATCAATTTTTTATTTATTAAATTCTATTATAAATTTATAAATTTGATTTTGCACGACTTTTATTCTTAATAAATAACACCTTTTGGCATGTGACATTAATTGATTTTTTTCTATATTTTCCGTGGATTCTTTATTGAATCGATCGAATTTAACACGATTTGCGCAATCGGAGTAATGAGTATCAAATTTCCAAGAATTCTGCGTTTCAATAATAAATAATCCATTCACTTTTATACGGTAGTTCTTTTTTTGGTTGTCGTCATCTCGCGTATAAATCGATCGCGGAATGCTCGCGCGTCGGTTCGTCGAACTTCATCATTGGTCATAAGGGCAAGCTCGATAATAATGGAATTTTAATGAGGGATCAATGTCTTTCGAATCATCGTTGATCGTACCGGCCGAACTGGAGTATTATTAGCGGCCCTCATAAAACGTTCACGAGACG